GGGAAAGAGGGTTGAATTTTCCCAATAGAAAGATAGAAAATAAAAGCCCATAAATCCTATGGGGGAGCTCAAATCCCCAGAGCTATAAATTCTTACTTACGAAGTATAAATTAATTTGTATATTTATTGAAAATAATATTAAAAATAAAAAAATCATAAAAGACAGAATGTGCACAGTTCCATGGTATGATTCATACAGTTTGATCTAAGAAGTTTGCCCATCGAGTCAGGAAAAATTTGCATACGTAAGACGTATGTAGCGCTGCATAGGTTAGGGATGTTATTTAGAGGGTATTGGAGGTTATATCCGCTTTCTGTAACCCAACTCCCCTTTCTGTAACCCAACTGTAAGCCTGTAATTTACTTATATCTTCTAATAAGTTCCGCACTTCTATTTTCATATACATTACAGGTTACATGTAAGTAATTTATAGGTCAGTCATGATTAGAGTCCGATTGGAGGAAGTATAGAGCGTATACAGCGCCAGTACTCCCTTGAGTACGAACACCTCGTTAGGCCTCCGCTCCCGGTCAAGTTTTTGTGTGGCTTTTTCTTCAAGAACCCAGTCTCTCTGTCAGGAAACAAAAAATGGCTCTATCGAGAGCAAGACCTTGCGGTGTAGCCATCGCCTCCTACCTCGCGCACCATTCCGCCGCATCCCTCCGCCGCCAAAACCCCATCAACCCAAATCCATCACCTCTCCTCTTACTCCGCCACTTCCGCTCCGGCCGCTCCCGCGATGATTTCTCTGCATCCCGGTAAGCTGCCCTTTCAAGCTCCTCTGTTCCCCGTTCTCCCATCCTCTCCATTTCTCATCAAACCATCTGTCTGAATCGCCGCAGCTATGAGCAGGCAGTGCCGCCGACAAACTGGGGCCTCCGCATTGTCCCCGAGAAGAAGGCATACGTGGTGGAACGCTTCGGGAAGTATCTTAAAACCCTATCCTCTGGGATCCATTTACTTGTTCCCTTCGTCGATAGAATCGCTTATGTTCACTCCCTCAAGGAGGAGGCGATTCCGATCCCGGATCAGTCTGCCATCACCAAGGATAATGTTAGCATACTCATTGATGGAGTTTTGTACGTGAAGGTATGGGCTCTAATTTTAGCGATACGATTTTTGAGTGATTTGTATGTTGTTTGCTGATCCCAGCAGTGATTATAATTTATTGAAGATTGTTGACCCGTTACTTGCTTCCTATGGAGTGGAGAACCCGATCTTTGCGGTGATCCAGCTCGCCCAAACAACTATGAGGAGTGAACTTGGGAAGATTACTCTTGATAAGACATTTGAAGAGAGGGACGCTCTTAATGAAAACATTGTGGTATGTTTTTGAAGTTTTGATATCTTATTATGGTGACCTGCATTTAATTATATGTTACTTGAGTTGCTAGTAACATTGTAACTTTGAGTTAGCTTGATGGAAATTATGGTTACTAGTAGATCTTAGTAAATTTTCAGATGATATAAAAGATGAATTCGTATGAAGTTTCTGTTTCTATTTAAAATTTATTTGCATATTTAACAATAATAGATAAAGTTACTAAGTTGTTATAGCTTGGTGAACTTTTATTATTTTTATTTTATTTTATTTGCATCAATATTGTGACTTTAATTAAAGCTTCTTTGAAAACTAAATAATGTTGTCTTGTGTTTTTGCAGAGAATTTAGGGCTTTAGATGTTTTGAAATAAATAATGAGAGAGTACCCCAGCAACTCTTAGCTAGGAAGATTCTCATTCAAGGTTCAATTGCTTAACACTGGTAGCTGAAGGTCTTCACCTTTGAGATTTATATGTGATGATTTTGGATGACTGAATTTTAGGGTTTTCTAATGCAACTAAAATCAAATTTTTGATGTAACAGTTTTGACTAAAAATCAAATTAATAAAGTGATAATAAATTAGGTTGAAGAATCAGATAATGAATGAAATTACCATGGTAGAGGAAAATTAGGCCTCATTTTGGTACATGGAAATGACTTCTCCAAAATTAGATAGTCGTACTTGTACTGTTCTTGAAGGAATCACATGTTTAACTTCCACAAACAAGATGTAAAAGGGAAGCAAAATTTTATTTAAGATAAAAGTTATTGATTTTATGCACAAGTCTCACCAAACATCCAGCCTCGGACCCTCTTGGTAAGCTTTTCATAGCTTGGATTAATAGATAAGATTGGTGCAGGTTCATTCTCAATTTAAGTTTAGATTAGTTACAATTAAATTGAAAATTTTCCAAATACAATCAAAAGCAATCCTTCGCCGAGCTGGCATACACAACTCTGACCAAACATCCAGTCTCACATACATGCACAGGAAACTGGATACTGCCAAGCTTGAAAAATGTATATTCCACTCCCAGAAAGCATTAATCTTGCATGCGAAATGTTAGGTCGCTCACCCAACCATTCAAACCTCTTTTTAAACGCCTTATTTTTTATTAATTCCCAATTCTACCACATAACTAAATGCCAAAGGGCATTTCATCAATTTAACCGATTTGAAAAAATCCTAACTATGATGAATCAAACTTCTAAGACTAAGCCCACCATCTGTCAAGTGTATGCTTAACATTATGTGTGAATTAATCTAAACCAAATCAAAATTGAAATTTTGCCAATCATATAAATTAACTTAAAGCTCGGAAATACCTTTATTGACCTTTACAACCCTTCTTGACCATCATCAAATCACATGCTTTAAAGTAAATACAAATGAATTGAACCTTTTAATCAAAGGGAACTAACCACTGAAAAGAAAATGCCTAAACGTCACAAAATTTAATGCTTGATTCAATGCCTCGGATGAAAATAAATCATCTAAGATTTTCATCATATTAGTCATTGGCTTTGAAAAATTTAGCATTTCTTACTCTTCAAGCAAATTTGGCATGAATTCTAAGCCAGTTGTAGAGTAATTCATGAATCATCACATTTATCTTAACAATGGATGCAATCTCATCATCTTGAATAGTTTGAGGATTAAGCTGCATAGAAGCATCTGACAGAGGATTGAATAGGCTTTACAAGGAAAAGATGGAAAGTGATTAAATATAATGAATTGACCAGATACTCATAAAATAAAGTCAAATTTTAAAAATTAAAAATGGATTTATATAAGAATTTCCTAGATTTTTTATTTTTAGGCATTAGGTCCAATTTATTGCACAATTTTTAATGTCTCATCCCTGCTTGCATTCAATTTTTTAAAGGTACTAGATGGAAGCACTTCTAGTTTGAAATGCAGCTTGAACTAGTCACTGGGTTTAAACTCAATGCACCATTGTTTAAAATTGCGCAATTCATGGTATGTCTCTGACTATGGTGTGAAAAAAAGCCTTGAGGCATACATTTCATGTTGAAAGATTAATTTTTATGGCTCAATTGTGTGTGAGGTATGCTATTAAGACATTTGTGATGAGGGGTAAGCCTCAATTTTCTCAATTATTGGTGTTGGGATTTTTTAATTTATGAGCACAAAACCCAATTTTCATTAGGTTTAACTTACTTTATTAAAGCAAAATATTTAAAACCATAAACCTCAATTTACACACTACCTGTTATGTTGGAGCCACATGCTGCATACCATAGGAAATCCTGTTCAGAGAGGTTGTGCTGCTACTGTGGTTGCTTTATTGCTGCTACCCTCGTTGCAGTCTTTGGTGTGCTATGACCAATCCTAAACCATAGTCCTTATCCTGATTTTTTTTCTCCTCTTATTTCTGTAATTAATGGTCTAATTTTCTTTTATCTACTCTAGTATGTATTCTCTGTTTTGAATGTATTTTGTAGTTTAGGGTATTTCAAAATGATGAGAAGTTTTAAGAAGATATTTAAAAGGGAAATGTGGGCAATAATAAAAAAATTCAACACGGAGGTACATAAAAAATCCACTCCTAAAAATTCAACACGGAGGTAAATTTTTAGGAGTGGAAGGACATGCATTTTTTTTAAATGTCTTTATTGTGATAAACAAGTTAGATGAGGCATTATGAAAATGAAATGGATTTTTGTTTCTTGTAAGATAATTGTGCCCTGTATTTAAGTGTCCAAATAGTTGAAAAGAAATTTTTGCTTGCATGAATAAAGCAACAATGTCAAAATGTTTATCACAAAAGCAATTTATTGATAGAGTTATATAGTATTACTATTATTGTAATGGGCCCAGTGGCAAAGATTTTTCTTCTTTCAATCCAAAAATCTTCAGTAAAAGTGCTAGGGGGACTATATGTTTTTTGTAATTCATTTCTTATTGGATCCCTTAGCGCTCTCTGCTTGCATGAATTTATGCATTGTATGTTACCATATATGCTATAGTTAGTTTCTTGTTGTGATTGCCAACTATATTTCCTTTTTGATTCTACTATTTTTGATTATATTGCAACTGTCTACTTTTTTTTTAATGAAAATGAATACCATAATCCACAATCATCCTAAGTTTTCATAATTTCTCCCTCAATATCCATTAACAAACCGAATTCAATCAAGAAATCTAGTATTTTTAGAAGGATTATGAACAAAAATTTTAGAGCATTTATTGGTAATTTTGTCATTTTGTTGGTTTATTAGTGATAGTAGGTTTTTCAAAATAGCATATACATCGTCTGCTTTAAGATTATTGATGCTTCTTACTCCTCCAAGATATTCTGTAAGAACATAGTTTGTTTGTATGGTTTTCCCACTTCAATTATATCTGATAAGGACATAGGGTTTGTTAGTTACTTTTAGCAGACCTCATGAAAATCTTTTGAAACTCGATTGAAGTTTACATGGTGCTTTTCAGCCACAAATAGTTGAACAAGTTAAACTTAACATAACTTCGAGATATCTATTGAGGTATTTGTAACAAATTGGAAAAATGGGATATACTTCGACATACGAGTGAATTTACTTATTTAGTACATGTACTAGTTAATTCCTATTTAAAGTGGTGCACTAGTCACATACTCATATCAACACCCTACCAAGCACTTGCATGTCTTAGTTTATGTTTGCTAAACTTATGTAAAAACTAAACTTAAATGTCAAAACACTAGTTGCTTTGCTAAATGGAAAGATGTAAAACTGTATCAGATGCTCAATAGCAACTCCTAGAATACAATGAATGTAAGTACATCTATCTTGTTATTTTTCCTGAATGTTTTCCATGTAATATTTTTAAGAAAATTTATGTCCGAGCCTCAAGCCCATACAAAAAATAACTTAAGAAGTTCAAATCAAATGTAGATTACTATTGATTTGAATGACAACATGAATATTTGTTTGACTTTCAGTGTTGAGAATTTAATTTCCTAGAAAGTGGTTCTTATGCCACTAAAGTTTCCCCATTTATCTTTATATGTGGAGTTTCTGCATTTAGTATTCCAATGGCACCAGTTCTAGTTTTCCCCTAGCTCTAGCTTTTCTACCAGTTTTAGCACTAGTTGTGGATATTGAACATATTTTTTGAGATGAGATTACATTGGGTTTTTCAGGTGAAGATTCTTAAGTTATTCATTCGTGAGGGCATTCACCGTCAAATGTTTTGTCACTGACACACATAAATAGTAGCATCACATTCTTCTGGCATGCCAAGAGAGTTTTTCATACCTTAAATACAATTGATAGCAATTGTCCTATCAAAACATATTTTTTGGTTCCAATGATTTGATTAATTATTTGCTTTTGTGCATTATTAGTAATTTGTGCTTCAGGAAGCTTATGAATTTCTTTTAGATTTCTGTAGATATTCTATTTATAGATAAGCTTTTATTTGTTTTATTCATTTGTTTTGTTATCATCTTTAGCTGTCTTTTTTTGTATAAGTAGAACCCTATGGATTATGATTGAAGAAGAATTATTGGATAATTATGATTGAAGAAGAAGAATTATTGGATATTTTTCCCCACTGTGATATTTACTCTCTCTCTCTCTTTATCTCTTCATCTCTTATTTTTTTTTCCTCCATCTTTCAACGCACTGAACTTCTCTCCCTTCATCCTCTATCTCATCCTCTCATTAATATTCATTTCTCCCCACCATCCCTATCTTTTAGCTCTTTCCATTCTGTCTTATTGCCTACTTCACTCTCCTCTTTTCCCTCTCGAGCTTATGCTCTTCTCTTTATTCTCTTCAAAACTTTCTTGATGCAGCCTCATAAAAAACATGAGCATGTTAAAATCTATATCAAAGTTTTAGCAAAATTTCATCGCTGAAATGATGACCATTATTTTTATATATAAAGCTTAAAGTTGTGACTTAGTTTCACTCTCGTTGTTGTTTAATGATGATGATTATTTTTATCCTTTCTTTTTTTGAAGTAGATTCGTTTTCTGTGATGCTTTCTAATAATTTTGAAGTTTCTGATCTTGGCATATGAACTTGGAAAAGTGTTATGTACTTTTGCAGTTTTACTTCATAATTATATTTTTGTTACTTATCTTGTTAGCTAGTTTAATGTTTGGAATGGAAATATTTAAGTGTCTTTTGACATTTTTCTGGTTTAGGGAGCAATTTTGTGTTCAACCATGATAAGCAATTTCGAGGTTTGACATTGTGTTCTTATCATTTAAACTCCTCTTCTGAGCAAGCCTGAGTTCTGGCTTTTAAAACTTCTATGAATTAATGTTGGAATGGTTGTAAAAAATCATTATATGTTTTTTTTTATTGTCTTTTATCAGGTGTAGTAGATTGTATGTGTATTATTTTATTTTATTGTTTTAATTTTTAGGTTTAAAAAAGGGCCCTAGTATCGCGTTCATTCCCAATTGCTAAACTATATCAATAGAGATTTGTATTGCTTTAAAGTGGTGGCTATCAATTAGATAATTTCTGAACATGAATCATGAAGGGCCTGTTTGCTATTGTTTTTTTAATTTATTTTTGTGTGTTATTATTTGAAACAAAAATAAGTTTCTTTTTGTTATGCATTTGTTGTTTTCAAATAATTATAATAATAATGGCACCATCGTTCAGTAATATAAAATTAACCTAAGCTAAGGCTCATAGATAATAATACATATTAGATTTTGATTTTTGTCTTGTTGCTAAAGTTTAGTGGGTTTTATAAATTTTATTTAATAATTTATAACCAGTATTAAATATATAACTGTGTGAGTGTAATATATAATTTTTTAATAAATCAATCAAAAATAAATACATCTTAAAATTATATTATTTCTTATTTGGATCAACTTAATGTGTCTTCGAATTTGTGTGTGTAAATGTCTGTATATGTGGGTGTATTGTATTGTGTGTTGTGTGTATGTGCATGTATATGCATGCATTTAAGAGTGAAAAAATAATTTTTCAAACATATATTCTATTACCTCTCAATTTGTATTTAAAAAATAAAAGCAAGTCATCTTAATAGGCTTAAAAATTTCCTTGAAGGCTTATGTCAATTTGATTGAAATTTCAACATTCATCATTTTTGGATTTTATTATTAAAAAAACCAAGAATAAGATTTTTTTGTGTATCCATCACCACTTTTTCGAAGCTTAAACAAAAAAGGTTAAGGGTTGGCTTTAGATTACAAAATTTTCTCCAACGTTTTATCTTATACCATGAAATTAATATTGTATTATAGATAAGAATTTATGTGAAAAGGCTAGAAGTTGGGGGATGGAGTAACTAATATGGAAAGTTGTATTTATAGATATACTAAATTATAATTAACACCAAATATGAAATGCAAGAGCGAATGATGAAGAAAGGATTCATGCCTTTAACTTGGTAGTTGGCTCAAGCAAGGGTAGCTTTGATATAGGACGCACTAAGTTATGGAGTTTTTGATACAAATTTAATGTGATATGTATAACAATAATGCTAAAAACTTTTTAAATTTATAGAACAATATTAAAGTAATATTTTCTATTCGATCATCAGATGAAAACAAGACTATATGTTGGAAAGCAGCTTGAAAAAAATTTCATTTGTTTTCTACTAGAAATAATGACTAGAAATTCATAATCAAGAAGGCCATGTAAAATGTTGATAGAAATAATGTTGTTTCAAATTGTTTCAAATTTGACCAAACTCGTTCACTCTTTCAAATTAATACCAAAATATAGAAGAAGAAAGCAAAACAATGGAAAGAATTAACTATAAAGTATTTCTTTCTCTTGTACAAGGAGATATCTTCCTTGGAATTATTCAAATATCTCATTTGATCAATGAATTAAATTTTCAAAAGAGGAATGGTGCATTCAACTCAAATTTTTATTCAAGTACTACTTGATATGTTTTGTACATTCCTCAGACGCTTATGTGTAATCAGATTTAAAAAATAGAAGGAATAGAACATCCAACTAAATTTTTTATTCAAGCAATAATTGATATATTTCTAGTGCATTCCCTTGGCCCTTCTTTAGAATTGCAGGACCTTAGAATTTTGCTTTCTACCCGACGCTGAACCAAAAGAATTGCATATTATTCTTGCCATATAAACAAAAGAAATTTTGATTATGTAGAATGAAATCCTGCTGGAACTCGATAACAGCTGCAAATGGCAGTAATAAAATATTGGTAAAGGAGTTAACATGTAACACGAGATATAAGATCATATATGCCACAAATAGCAGAAACATTACCCACCAGAAGTAGAAAAAGTGTCCTTCAAAAGTGGAGGTTTTTAACTTAAGGATTCCATATGAATAGAAGACCGAAGTAGAAATCCCCTAATACATGTGATGAATATGGATCTGAGTGCCTATCTAACTTGCATTATAGGGTATGATGTTAGGCCATGTAAATGCGAATTTTCATTAAATAAAAAACTTCAACATAAAAAAAGCAAAGCAAAGGCAAATGAAGTCAATTTAAAAGCATATTTCATGTTGTTCTTCTTTCTCCTGCATTTTGTTTTTTTTTGTTTTTATCAACCAAAAACATTGAGGTTTGCATCCATGGCTGCTGTTGCTTATCCTCAGTCCTGTACCTGTCTGCTTGTTTATATGTTTGGAAGTCTTCAGCCTGTTTTTCTTCATTAGTTCTTTAGTAAATAAAAATGATAATGTTCTATTTTGCTTTTAACTGATGAATTCATTATTGTATGAATAAATGACTTATCTGTCAAAAGTATAATATTTCTTTAGCACTTCATTAGGTTTTTGTTGTTTGTAACGATCATTTTAATTATATTGTAAAGAACCTTTTGTTAGATTGTTCAGAAACTTTTCTAGTGGATGATCTTTTGAGCTAGAGATTACTTTGGTTGTTGTTTTAGATTGCTTAATGTTATATTTGTCTTGAACCAACTGGTTCTTAAAGCTAATTTAAAGATACTTGTTACTCTTGAATGATAGCTTTTTGATTTATCTATCTGAGTTATATTATTTATCCAACAGAGGGCAATTAATGAGGCAGCTACTGATTGGGGCTTGAAGTGCTTACGTTATGAAATAAGTAAGCCTATCCATTTTTATTTAAATGTGCAGCATCAAGTGCTCCTGTTGCTAGTTTGATATGTCTTAGTACGTTTGATCAGGGGATATATCTCCACCTGCTGGAGTGAAAGCGGCTATGGAGATGCAAGCTGAGGCAGAGCGAAGAAAGCGTGCTCAAGTACTGGAGTCTGAAGGTGAAACTTGTTAAATTAAAAGGTTCATCTTTGAATTCACTAATTTCTAGTATTTTAGTTATTTAATTGTCATATTGAAAAGCTTGCTGATGAATGCTAACTTGGAGAATGCTACAAAAGGTGTTTGATAAGGAATGTTGGAAAGACGCCTATTGTCTATCTGTATAGTATTTTATTAATTTTTTAATGGTTTCACGCCACTTGTCAGATTTTGCACAAATGTTCCTTGTTCTATCTTGGGGATAATAAAATATAGTGCCTTTATGCGCCTTTTAATGCAACAGGAGAGAGACAATCAAATATAAATATTGCTGATGGGAGAAAAAGTTCTGTGATCTTGGAGTCCGAAGCTGCTATGATGGATCAGGTGAATAGGGCTAAAGGTATGCTTTTCCTCTTATTTAATTTTGCTAGTCTGCAGAATTTTCCCCAAAAAAAAAAAGGAAAAAAATATATATATCTGTAGTATTATTTCTTATTTTTTATTGTTCTAGCTCTCAATTAAATTCATGCTTCCTTTTGGTTAGCTTTTGAGGTTAAAATATCCAATCCACTCGGTTTGCCTATGGAACATGTAGGCAACCAAATTAGCTAAATATTTGTTTTGATTTAGGTGTCAGATTAGCTGCTGAAAGTTATCTGATTCAATTTTTTTATAGATGGATTCAGCTGGTGCTTAATAGAATTTGCTCTGCTCTTATGGAAGGAAGGCATTAACGTGGTCTGTACCATGAGTTTAATTGTTATATAGTACTAACGTTAATTAAACTCAGGTGCTACATCATGGGGGCCACAAATATGAGAGGAACCTGCTGTTAAGACCGATGTCATATATGCATACGCCACCCCGATTTATAGTCTATTGCTACGAGTCTATTGTTAATTCAAATAAGGCCTTTAGAAGTCTGAAATAGTTGGCATTGCCTGAAATCTATCTTTTCAAACTGTTCTTGCACTTGTAAGCATTTGCAGGTTGATGCAAGAGATTCTGAATCTAATGACAAACTTTTTTTGCTATTTATGGCTCTTAAAATTTTAACAACTAATTAGCTGATCCATTTAAAAGCTTATAGAGGCCTGGTTAGCATATTTTGCTTGATTTTTATCATGATGTTGATTGGGATGTATGCTAACTTGATAGTTGGCATGCAGGAGTTAGTTCATGAAGTTACTTAAATTTCACTGACAAAAAATCGCGAACTTATTTTTTTAATGTGGGATCTACTGTTACCCAAATGACATTTTTATTTGTAGCCCGTTTTTCTTAATAATATTTCTGTGAACCTATTGATTCCATGTAACTTGAAATATATATTATACTTATGTATACTTTTTTTAATATATATTTTTCAATATATATTTCTGTAAACCTAACGCATATGTATACATAGGCATATATGTATATGTATACGTAGGCATATATGTATACATAGGCATATATTTATATGTATACATATACATATATATGTATATGCTGATACCGCACAATTTTTATGTATTTACATATTAACACCTCACATTGATGATTACTTAATAGCTAGCATCTCAATCACGTCAAAATATGTGTATAGAAATGTGTATTTCATTTTAGAAAAGTTAATATTAGTGATATTTTTCATGTAATCTTAAGTATGGGTTTTACCCAAGTAAATATTAAAATTTGAGTGTGTATATGAATAATTCTTATGTGGTATGGATATAATTTCCCTTTTATTAATTGTAAAAGATTTAGATTTGTGGTAGTGTTACCAACCGTAGTACCAGTATAACTTGGGCCAATTGAATTTGAAGGATGTTTTAACCTGATTTTTGCCATGTCCTTACTGTTTTTGCAATGTTTTGGGAATTTCTTGGTACACCAGCAATTTAGAGTTTTGGAGTGTCGTGCCATATTTTGCATGATATATTTCACTTTAGATTGGAAGAACTAGTTCTTTTAAGTTAAATTAAATATGTGTCTGGTGGAAAAGTCCGCGTTTAAGTGACTTAAAATGAAAAACTAATATATTGCGCGCTATCATATGCTTACTCATTAATCACGGAAATAATTCAGGTGAAGCTGAAGCTATACTTGCTAAATCTCGAGCAACTGCTGAAGGACTCAAGTTATTGTCTGGGGCAATTAAAGCAGATGGAGGATTTGAGGTATGATTGTTCGTCAGTACGGTTGTCTGTGTTTTGCCTCTTTCCTGATCTTAACTTGATTTCCATTATAACGTTTCCTTAATAGAAAAAAATTGGGTCCGGATATTCTGCCCCAATTTTCTTCAGAATGTTCTTAAAATCTCGACACAGCATTTTTTTTTTTTTAATGACATTTGTTCTGCTGATCAGATTTGTCATATTGTTTTGCTCTTTTGTCAGAAATCATAGCAAATTTCTTCATTATTTTTTAATCTATCTGCAAATCTAATTCACATATTTCCATGCCGTTTAAATAAAATTGAGTGCCATCTACCAATTTCTTAAGACAGTCCTCATCAGAATATTTTGATCCAAACTTTTTTCTGAACCGCAAAGCCGGATTGTCCTTCCGCAGGCTGCAAGCCTAAGAGTTGCCGAACAATACATCTCAGCATTCTCCTCAATAGCGAAGGAGGTGAAGACTAAAACAAAACATGCCCCTCACTTTCTTCCACCGTGAACGCCCACTTCTGCCATGTATCTTATGCTTTGCCCTCATTTTTTATTTTATCGCAGGGAACAACCATGCTGCTACCTACCGCAGCTGGCAATCCTACTTCTATGATTGCTCAAGCTCTCTCCATATACAAAGGCCTTCAGGTTGGCAGCCCTAACGGTCGGATTCCATTTGTGCAAGATGGAAGCGTTGGGGAAAGCAAGGACCAAGATCTGGAAGGTACAGAAGCCACCCACACAACTCCTTGGACTTCATCCATCCCCAGAGCTTCAACTCCCACTGCAGATACCAGTGAAAGGGGATTTTCTCTTGCAAAACCTCTTAAAGAGGAGTAAGCCTGCATTTATGTTGAAGTTAATTGATGAAAACAAATAATTAAATTTTTGCAATTGGTTTTGTTTTTGAATCTGCAGCCACTGGTCTTAAAACTTTTTTGGCTCCTTTGACTTTCGAACTCCAAATACAGAAGTTGAATTCCCCCATATTTCTTTTTTCCTAAAGTAAGAAGGGATGAGAATTATAAATTTTTTTCTCCATGGTGATAAGACTTGGAGAGTTTCTTTGTAGAAAAATTATCACATAAAATTGTTCGTCAGCATTTCAATTTCAATATTGTGATAATATTAATTATTGTTTTAATATTTTTAATTTTTGTTTTTGATTATTGTGTTACTCCTGTTAAGTGAGATGTTAGTTATTTATGAAATACTTGAGCTTACAAGTATTTGTAGATTTTAAATGTAATTTATGTTTTAATGTATGAGATGTTCAATCTTGTCCGGTTATCTTATAAACAACAAAACAATACATGTGCAAAATGTCTTTTTTTCATAAATACATGCAGCACAGCTGTACAAAAAAATAGAACTTTCTGACAACAGCTTCATGGCACAACTGCTATGCTGCAGCTTTTTAAAAATCTACAGCTGACCCAAACAGACCCCAAACCGCAAGTTTTATGCAAGCAGTTTTGGCAACTACACTTCAAGCTTTTCCATCCCAAGACGAAATGGTAGGGTTGTGGTTATGTATTTATTAATGATAAGTTAATTTTATTTTTACTGTCATTATGAGTCGGTATCAGGATTGTAAAGTCTTGGTATGTTGATAACAATTATTAGTATGTCAATAGAAATTATTGTTATGATATGCATCAGAATTTTGTTTGTTTGATGAAAATTGTGCATCCCTACATTTGTTAATTAAAATTTGGAGCAGTGTAGTGATTTCTTTGGGAACTTTTGGACTAAATATAGTTTTCCATTGGGTGGTGTTAGGGGTTGTAAACAGGTCAAATCAAGCTCGAGCCAACTCTGGCGATCTTGATTAATTATTCTAGTTCAAGCTTGAGTTCAAATATATAGTTCAAATCAGCTCATTTGTTATTAAACAGAAAATGATTTTAATTTAAGTGATTGTTATAATAAGATGAAAAAAAAGAGCAGTTAAAGAAAAAATAATAATAAATCATTTAATATAATAAATTCTAAATATTTTTAATAATTTAAATAGAAATTTTTTAATATTAATATATTTTATTTACATTAATATTTTTTTAAAGTGAGTTGGCTCATGAGTTAACAACTAGATGTAGTGCTTGCTCAAGTTGCACTCCTTAGCTAATGATACTGACTCATTTATTTGCAAATTCACTTGACTTTAGTTGCTTATACCCCCATAACATTATAACGATATGAAATCCCAAATGCTCCCATACTAAACAAAGATCTGTTCTTGTGCTCCTAAACTCCATAGATAATTATAAATTCATATACCACATGACTAAAATTACAATTTTAATTCGCATGAAACATTCAAATTTCCTTTTGACAGAACAAGCAATGCATTACTCTTTCATCTCCCCACTCCGCTACTCTTCATTTTTAGCCTCTGCATGCTGCTTCTCTTCTTCTGATGTCTCTTTCTTCTTCTTTTTCTTCTTCTTCTCCTCGCTCTTCGCCTCGTGATGTTCATCATCTCCCTCATCTCCTTCTACATAATCCTGCACGAGGAGATGAACGCCGGGATCCTCTGCACCACAGCTGCCACCGATCACAATGGAGTTGTTCATGCTCTGATAGTTACTATTCGCAATAGCCTCCGTGCCTTCCCGGCCATTGCGATTCACGGCGGCGGAGATCTGATCAATGGCGGCTTCAGGACCTTCCATCTTCATCACTGCTCCTTTGTTTGTTCCAGCAACTGTGATGATCCCCAAGGCGTCATCGGAATCCCCGTTTCTGGTCTTTCCAAGTCCGGTGAGGATGGAGATCGCATCGCGTAGCTCACGGTTGAGCTGCTGGTGGCTTTGTTCTTTGGTTGGAGGAGACGACATGGAAAGCCGAGCAGGAACTGGAGGTATGATGTTTTGGAAGATTATCTGTAGTGGTATTTATATTTATGGGTGATCAGAGTATGAATCTTGATTGGTGAAGGGGAGGGAAAGAATATATTCGGAGGGTTGTGGAGGGTAGGGGTTGGATTCTGATGCTTTCTTACGACTTAATCCATCTGGTTTTGTAGAAATGAATTTTTTAGAATGAAAATCAATTAAAGTATTGTTTGTGTTACAGATAACTCTTTGAATAATGTCAAAGTGAAATAACAACAGCACCGACAATAAACTACCACCCACCGAGGTAAAAATATTACATCAGTATTAAACACGTAGAGTAACGTGCGTAGCCAATGAAATCACGCCACGATACCCCGCACGACACAGAAAAAAAAACGGCGTAGTAATATGGAGAATATTCCCCCCCGTGTTATTCATGTGTTATTGTGTGTTATTCATGTGTTATTGTGTCCTGGGAATATTCCTGGTGTTATAATAACACAATAACACATGAATAACACACAATAACACAAGAATAACACTAGAGAGAATATTCCCTCGTGTTATTGTGCCTTTTTTTTATCTGCCGGGAATATTTCCCGTGTTATTCAAGTGTCATTGTGTGTTATTCATGTGTTATTGTGTCCTGAGAATATTCTTGGTGTTATACTAACAAAATAACACATTAATAACACATTAATAACACGCAATAACACATGAATAACGCACAATAACACAAATAACACGGGGGAATATTTCTCGTGTTACTGCGCCATTTTTTTGCTCTGCCGCGCGAGATGTCGTGACGTGATTTGATTGGCTACACACGTATTTTTAAGTGCGTAGTACTGATGTAATATTTTTTTCCCACCGAGTGGGGAGTGGGATCGGCAACATGAATCATTTTTCTCTGTTGTTTCCTATTGAGTGTCATATGTTACATCGTTCTTTTATATTCTCGATTTATAGGGATGGGAAGACCTATGTATTTCAATTAAACTAAGCCTAATGAATTTTCTTTTCTAGTTATCCACACAAAAGCCATCATTTCTCTATGTATATTTCAATGTGATCTCTCTATGTATATGATTTTCACTTCAAATAAACCAAATCATAAATTTAAATGCTTATCATCATAAGTTGTTTGGGACATTTACATAAATATCACTCAGTTCCTATGTATTTAAATATTCGACACCTAAACTTTACTGTTAACATTTATAACGTTCAAATTTTTCATATCATATAAAAATATCACTATTTTAACTTTTAAAAAGTAAAATTTACATTTTATTACATAGATAAGGTGGTATAGACATGTTGAAATTGAAATTTAGGTGTAGATATGCAAATTCATAAGGATTGAGTGGTATGTAAATCTTCAAAGTTTTTCAGCTATCTATAAATTAAATATTATGAAATAACAAAACGATAAAATCATGATCAAACCATCAAAAGGTTGATATAATGGCAATTTGAAGTATTGTATGATTTGTTTAAATTGATCAAAATCTTAAAAAAATAATGTATTGACCTCTCTAACAAATCTTTAGAAGGAGCACTAATATGCCATCAACAAATTCCATTGTCTGACTCGAATTTTGAGACAATTTCTTAGCAAGAAACATAAAAAAATTGATTAAAATTCTCAAGAACTCTGATTTCAGCAAACTTTTAGTCAAATTGACCAGCTTGATGAAACGAACACAACGATATCAAATTTGGTCTAATCAGAGTAAATTCAAAGGCATCAAATTGGAAGGCCAAAGAGATTCCAAATCTAGCATGCTTATAATCAAATCGATCATCTTGAAGAGACGAATTCAACGAGCCTAGGGTCACACAATTCTGATATCTTTAAGACACCTAAAGGTCCACGGGACACCATCCTATCGAGGGACTCTCTTCGAGTTGTTTGATAGAGTGATATGAATTATTACCTTATTTATAATCTGGACTCTAAATATAGTTCTACCCTCCTTTTGAGAAGAGGATCAAAACTATGACCAAGAGGAAGGCCAGAGCTTGGAAAATAGGGAGTTGAAGCCTAGAACCATGCACCGACGATTCAACAAACCCCTTGCTCTTGTAGAACCAACCATCGACGACCATCACTCACTGACCTTCGCCAACCACCTTTCGCCCGCTCTTCGAGATGACAACAATCAATGTCGCAGGATCATGAATCAACCTACAAAGTGGCGCATCATGTCTAAATTTGTGCAAACCCCGATGACAATGTAATTATGCACCTCACATATAATGTAACGATGCCTCCCGAAGATAGTACAACAATGCACATTAAATATAGTGTAACGACACAACCTGATGACAGTATAATAACACCACACACACATTATAATAGAACCTCTCAAATACAGTGCAACGACACACTTCGATGATGATGTAACAACGCAACCCACATACGATGCAACAACATACCTCGTAATGGTATGAAAACGCACCTCACATTTGGTGCAACGTCTCCTAAAGGTAGTGTAGTAATACACCCCGAACACGATGACTTTCTCCGGACTCTTAAAGCCCTCTCTTTGCAATTCACCACCACGGCCTACATAATTCATAGGTCGTGCAGCTCCCCACTCTAGCCCTTGCGGCCTAGGGGCACTATCGCAACTCACCGCTACGATCGATATGACCAACTACGGAGTACGTGGCTCATAAACCGCACAACTCCCGACTATAGCCCCTCTGGCTTACAGACATCATCACAACCCATCACTATGACCTATACGACAAACTACAAGCTACATGGCTCATAGCTCATGCAACTCCCAACTTCAAATCTTACAACCTATGAACATTATTTCAACTCAACGCTGCGACATTTTGACCAACTATTACCTACATGGCTCACAGCTAGTGCAGCTTCCAACTCCAACTCCTTTGACCTACGGATGTCATTGTACCTCACCACTACTGCCTATGTCACCAACTACTATTTATGTGGCTCATAGCTCGTGCAATTCCTAATCCTTAGCCTCTTTATCCTACGGACGCGTTCACACCACTATGACTTATATGACCAACTATAGTTTGAGTGGCTTATAGCTCATGTAGCTCCCGACTAACCCCTATGGCATATGAATGTTATCACATCACAAAGTCTATGACAACTTCTTTCAGTGTGGGGATTAACCTTCTCCGCAGTCTCAAAAATTTGTTCACATCAACATTCTGGGCATAACTATGGTGGGGAAGTCATCCCACATTCCATTCAGATTTCAAGTCTTTGATGATTGTTTCCAGACTGTTAGGCAAATTTATAAATAGTGCCTCCTCAACATCCCCCACGATATTAGAGTTCTTCCTCAACTGTATCAGAAAGTTTATCTCTTCAAGATTTCATGCATGGGATGTTTTATAAGCTCGTATGGAAAAAAACCTCGTTGTAGGACAAAAAAGTCAAAACAGTGACTAACAAGTTGCCAAACAACGTTCTTGGGTATGGTTGTAACTATGTTTCCAAGAAAAAACTACGGTCCGTTGCGACCTACATCCCTGTCTCAAGAAACATAACATTTTTGAACACCTCATTATGGGCTTAATCGATCATAAGAGGATTTGAAATGACCTCTTCCATCACAGGCTATAGTTGTTAAGAAGAATATTCAACTAATAATTATGGATAGGTAAAAAATCCTTAGTAATTCTCATTGATCCATTTCATCACAGGCTATAGTCGTCAAGCAAAAGCTTCGACTAACAACCTCAAATATGTTAGAAATCCTTGATGAATTTCTATCAACTTATTCCCTTACATGCTACAGTCGTCTATCGGATGCACTTTGACTAACAACTAAGGAAAAGTAAAGCATTCGTAGTGACAGACAAGGTCTCCACCCATACCCTTGGAAGTCAAGATCAAGAAGGAAGACTCAATGGGAAAATTTCATACCTCAAGAAGTCAAGCCTACGAGACAAGACTCAATGGAAACTACAGTAACCTAGAAGACAAGCCCATGAGGCAAGTCTCAATGAGAAGCTACTATACCCCTAAAAAATGAGCCAACGGTGCAAGTCTCAATGAGAAGTTAATGGATAAGGTTCTCACTACAAAGATTCCACGAGAGCCAGTGGTTGATATGATTTTCACTCAAAGACCTCAGAAGGCTATAATCTTCAGAAGACACATATACATCAAAGATGTCAGAAGGTTACAAGCTTCAGAAGACACAAGTATATCAAAGGTACCAGTAGGCTATAAGCCTCTAAAGGCTATAAACCTCAAATGGCTACAAATCTTGATAGGTAAACATACATTAAAGACCTTGGATGGTTAAAGGCCTCAGAAGACACATGTACATCAAAAACTTAAGAAGATGAAAACCTTAAAAGATACAAGCCTAAGAAGACACAAATCTCAAAAGATACAAGCCAAAGAAGACACAAATCTTAGAAGACATTAGCCTCAATAGGTATGTGATTCTATTTTATACAAAGTTCTCATGCTAACTTTGATTGCAAACTTCCACATATTTCAGAAGTCACAGAACCTCAGAAGAACTGAATGCCACTATATGCATGCCCATAAGATGAAAACAACAATAGCTTAAAGACATCAACAACACCCTAGAAGTGGGGTAGCGACATCCCAAAAGTCGAGTGGCATCATCTCAGAAGTTTGGCAACAATGTCATGGAAGTGGGGCAAAAGCATCCCACAAGATGGGCAACCACAACTCTGAAAGAAAGGCACTCAAACGATTACATTATCACCTTATACAAATGTCACATTAGGTGATTAAAATGCGAAAAAAGACAAACACACATTGTACAAGGACAACAAGTCAACTCATCCTCAAATGATGTCGGCATTGCCTTCTCAAACTTCTAGTGTTACCTCTGATTTTGATAGGGCAAGGTTCCCCTTATGTCGACATCTCAGCAAAACGAAAGAAGATCCTGGATCTCCTGCTAGGTAGGTGGGGGATAACTTTCTTCTTCCTCCGTAAAACATGACGGCAACGTAAAAGAAGATTATGGGGCTCCGCTAGGTAGGTTGAGGAAAATTTCTTCCTCTGGAAAGTGTGATAACAAAGCGAAAGAAGATCTTGGATCTTCTGCTAGGTAAGCAAGGGGCAACTTTCTCCTATGGAAAGCGACAATTTGAAATAAGTTCCTGGATCTCCTGTTAGGCAAGTCGATGACAAGTT